AGCGTTCGATCTCCAGCACGTCCAGCCGGCGCAGCCTCTGGAAGGCGTAGTTGTGGAGGGCGCGGATGCTCAGCACCTTGAAGCGGAGCTCCACCAGGTGGCGAAGCTGGGCGAGAGCCAGCTGGGGTACGCCCGTGAGGTTGCACCTCTCCAGGGTGAGCTGCTGCAGACGGAGCAGCCCGCTGAAGGCTTGCGGCGAGATGAAGACCAGGTGGTTGTCCCCGGCCTCCAGCCTCCTCAGGTTGAACAGGTCCTTGAAGGAGTGGTCCAGGAAGATGACGATCTTGTTCTCGCTGATGTCGAGGATGGTGAGGTTCGGGAGGCCGGTGAAGATCCCGGGCGGGACGATTTTCAGCTGGTTACTCTTCAGCCTCAAGGTCATCAGCTTCTGCAGGCTGTTAAAGGCTCCGGGCTCAATGTTGGAGATGATGTTCTCGCTCAGGTCCAGCTCCTTCAAGGGCTGCAGGCGGGAGAACATGCCCTGGTGCAAGGTCCGGATCCGGTTCTTGCTCAGGTCCAGGAGCTCAGACTCCGGGGGGATCCCGCCTGGCACGGTGGTCAGGCGCCGGCGGTTGCAGAAGACAGACCTGTCCTGGGAGGAGCAGTGGCACCTGGAAGGGCAGCTCCAGCTGGATCCCGTCAGGAGGGCCTCAAGGGCAAGGAAGAACAGGGGATGCCAACAAGCCCGAGAGGAGGGAAAGTCTAGGAAAGGCCCAGCCACCATCTTACCTGCTTCCTGCAAAACAAGAACATGCCGCAGTTAGAGAACCAAAGGGGAGAACCTGGCCTGTGGGGGCACTGGGACAGTCATGCAGCAGACCCCTCTACATATGGGATGGACCCCTCAGCTTGCATGAATCAACACAGCTTCACCAACCTCCTACCAGTTACATGTCTGGCTTTTCTTCTTTCCCTTGGTACCTGGCCAGGAAAAGACTGCTAAGGGCTACTTATTAAAACCGTGCCTCAGTTTGCCTCCCCATCCACTCATCTGGTAGAATCCTAGACCACTAGAACTGGAAAGATCCTTGAGAGGTTATCGAGTCCAGTCCCCTGCCCTCACGGCAGGACCACGCATCGTCTACACCATCCCTGATAGGTGTCTGTCTAACCTGCTCTTAAATATCTCCAGTGATGAAGATCCCACAACCTCCCTAGGCAATTTATTCCAGTGTTTGACCTCCCTGACAGTTAGGAAGTTTTTCCTAATGTCCAACCTAAACCTCCCTTGCTGCAGTTTAAGCCCATTGCTTCTTGTCCTAACCTCAGAGGCCAAGGAGAACAATTTTCCTCCCTCCTCCTTGTGACACCCTTTTAGATACTTGAAAACTGCTCTCATGTCCCCTCTCAGTTGTCTCCTTTCCAAACTAAACAAGCCCAGTTCTTTCAATCTTCTCTCCTAGCTCATGTTTTCTAGACTCTTAATCTTTCTTGTTGCTCTTCTCTGGACCCTCTCCAATTTCTCCACATCTTTCTTGAAATGTGGTGCCCCGAACTGGACACAATACACTCCAATTGAGGACTAACCAGCGCAGAGTAGAGTGGAAGAATGACTTCTCGTGTCTTGCTCACAACACTCCTGTTAATACATCCCAGAATCATGGGAGAGGGTCGGTGTTTGGCTCTCTCTCCCTGCAGAGATGCTCCTAAAGTCACAATTCCTCCATAACCCCTGATATGTTTGCAAGCAGTTGACCTCAAGTCACATAACAAGGGATGAGCACCCCCAGTGGTACCAATGAGGGAACTTGAAGGGAGAGGAGGAGGAAGGGACTTGACCAAGGTCACACATTACATCAGTGGCAAAGCTGGGACTAGCCCCCAGATTCCTGAGTCCTTGACCAGCCTTCTGCCTGATGGATCACACCACAGCTAATGAAACCTTTGCCTTCTGGAGAACTTCAGCTAACCTGCGGCAGAGGCTCACACTATCAATGTGATTTAATGTCCAGCAGTGACGGACATTCAGACCCAAGGCTGTATTTTATTTTTTCCCCTTTGTGTTGGCAGTCCCAGTTAGCATGTCAGGTGAAGAACAATGGGTCAGGTTTAGCACTGAAAGGTCAGCATGAAAAGTCAGTGGCCCTGGGATATTTTGTGTTATTTTTAAAGCAGAAGAAGATGCAGGGAGCTTTTCCAGCTTTGAATGAGTCATTAAAATGCAAGCCTCCTCTATAACGAACACCCGAACCCAAGTCTCCGCAGCTGCCCTTGGACAAGTTTTGAAGGCTTTCGACATAAATTCCTGCAGCACCAATGGGTTTTATCCACTGTCTGGGTCATACCAAGCATCTTGTAAGTCACAGATTTGCTAACAGGGCCTGGCTTTGGCAAAGAGCCTGCTGTGACCCCTCCTTATCACTGTGATGGTTCCCGTCATGCGTTATGAAGTTTAGTTTTTTCATATAAATCTGTATTGCTCAAAGATGATTTAAACAAAACACCCCAGGTAACCTATCGATGTTAATGTTACAGTCTGCTGGATCTGTGTAGCTTACTGTGGTGCATGTATCATTCTTGTATATAAAGTTAGAAGTATGGACTACGAGGCAGCTTATAATTTTAAATGTGCTAATGAGAGCCATTACTGGCGTGGGGAACCACTAACAACTTAGTGGTAGAAATGTAGCCGTGTGAGTCTGGTGCAGCTGAAACAAAAAACAAGACGGTGTAGCACTTTAAAGACTAACAAGATGGTTCAATAGGTGATGAGCTTTCGTGGGTCAGATCTGAGGGAAGTGGGTCTGGCCCACGAAAGCTCATCACCTATTAAACCATCTTATTAGTCTTTAAAGTGCTACACAGTCCTGTTTTTTGTTTCACTAACAACTTAGTGATCAACTTAACGACTTGTAAACAGTCTTGTTTGTCCTGTAAATCCAAAGGCGACTGGACTCCTAAGCCATGTGACCATACCACCTGGTACTGGGATTCCATTTTGACCCAGGTATTGTTCTATGGAAGGGGGAATGCCACCCTGGGGGAAAAGATCGTCTCTTTGTTATGGGTTGGCAATCTAAAGAGGGCTGGGGACCCAAGTCAAGATAAAAGAGGTTGTTTCTGATCTGAAGGCTATGCCTAGAACAAGAACAGGTTTAGGGTAAGAATCTGCTTACAATACGTTTTTAGTGGATTAGAACTAGCTATGCATTTTTGTTTCATTTTAACTTAGTAGCTTGCTTTGATCTGTCTGTTTTCACATGAAACCACTTAAGTGCAACTGTTTGTACTTAGTAAACAAAAGTGTTATCAGGCCCAATGGAAATAATTGTTACCTGGGGGAATGACCATTGTGCATATCTCTCTTTCATTGATAAACAGGGCAAACAACCTCATAAGCTTTCTCTGTGTAAAACGTTTACTCACAGAAAGATGGATTTATTGGGGGTTTGGATACCTTTTGGGGGCTGTTCCCTAGAACTGTGTCCTCCCAGAGCTGCAGTGGTTCAGCGTCTGCATTGCTCCTCCGAGGGGTGGAAACCCCAACTCTGTGCCTTGTCTGGGGGAGACCAGAGGATCCGGCCCAGCAGGGCAGGCTGGTGGGAAGCCGTGGAGAGCAACAAGGTGGGTGTCAATAGCATGATGAGCACACTGGGGAACAATCCCAAGGGGACTTCTGTGACCGCACCCCGTCATAATCACTTGCTGTGCAATGCCTTCAAAAAAGGCTTTCGATGGCAGGCAGCTGTCAGTCTGATCCCACTGGGGGACCTGTCCTTTGCTGTGCGATGCCTTCAAAAAGGGCTTTCAATGGCAGGCAGCTGTCAGTCTGATCCCACTGGGGGACCTGTCCCCAGGGCCCCGGCTTCGTTCATTTCCGGCCAAGGCTAAATGGGAACTTGTCAGGCAAGTGAGTGACACAAGACTGAATCCCAATTGTGAGGGCTGGGAATGGGGAACTGGGGTGGTACATCTGCCCAAGCTGGAAGTTTCCCTGCAGCTGTCACAGAGACACCCCCTGTGATAAGAGCCGTTTGCTGGTCTGGGCCCAGATCGAGTGAGAATGAAATTGCAGTGGGGAAAGTCCTGCTCCTCGCTCGGACCTGGCTGCACCCAGGAGGCTGCCATTGCATGGCCCCAGACTAGGGACACTGCTGCTCCTGGAGGGAGCATGGAAATAGCCCCCCCTCTTTGGACCCCCTTTGTTTTAGCGTTTGCCACAGGAGGTGCAACAAACCCTGCAGTGCTGGCGAGCGGGGAAGCATTGCCTGGGGGGACATGGAAATAGTCCCCCCTCTTTGGACCCCCCTTGTTCTGCCATTTGCCACAGGAGGTGCAACAAACCCTGCAGTGCTGGCGAGCGGGGAAGCACGGCCTCCCACCGGCGCCCGGGGGGCTGGGGGAATTTCCCAGGTTACTGGGAACCAGCTGGATGAGAGGAACCTCCAGATATTGAACTTGGTCCTGGCTGCTGTTAGCTCCACCGGGCAGAAGGGTTACACACGCATGAAGACTCCCATTCCCATGGCAAGAGGTTTGGCTGCTGGGTGGCCCAAAGGGTCCTCTGCAGCCGGCTCTGGGGGTTCTCTCAGCCTGTCACTTCAAAGCAACATGCCATGAGAAATTTGTGAGACTGGGTCTCTCGCATGCCCGCCCCGCGCCTCAGGCACACACCCCTGCCACGTTGGATGTGAGTTCCCAGAGCATGGCTTCCCAAACTGGGGGGATGTCGAAATTCTAGGGGGGCCCCAACCCCCTCCTTCCCCCATCAAGTTGTGCTGCCCAGATCAGTTTTTTTTTTTTTTTGCTCAACAAGTTTTGCTGTTTTTTTTGGGGGGGGGGGAGCATGAGGCTTTCTCAACCGAAAAGCTTGGGAACCACTGTCCCAGAGCTTGAGTCGTTTCATTCCAACCCGCCTTTCCACCGGCCACTTGAGGTCCCCGGGCAGAGCCACTTGCCTTTAATCATGACCCTGGCGGGGTGTCCGTGCGCGCGGCCAGCTCGGATGGCGGCAAAGAGGTTCCGGTCCTGCTCCCCCGTGTCCAAGGGGTCCCACCGACCACGCTGTCCGTATCACAGATCATGGCCCGCTACGGAGAGAGCAGAAAGAGTCAGTGACTCGCCACCCCGCCAGGGAGACGCCCATCAGCAAGAACCAGCTGCAAAGGAACAGGCTGCTTCTGAAGGACTAGGACAAAGATACTCTGATCCACCTATTCCCTATGGGAACAAACCTGATCCTGCAGCCTTAAAAACTAGCAAGTCTTTAAGGGCTGCTACCACACCTGCAAGCAGGAAGGTGCACTTCAGAAGCACAGCTACTAGAGAGGCAGCATTGCCAACTGATTACCTCCCTGCTCTGCCACAGACTGTCTGTTTGACCTTTGGCATGTCACTTAGCCTCTGAGCCCCCTCTGTACGTGGGGATAACAATACTACCTAGCTACATACCCATATATCTCGAGGTGCATTACAAAGGAGATCAGGATTATTAGCCCCTCTGTATAGATGGGGAAACTGAGGCGCAGAGCAGGGGAAGGGACTTGCCCATGGTCCCCCCCAGAAGGTCAGCGGCAGAGCTGGGATTGAAATTCAGGTCTCCTGAGTCCCAATCCAGTGCTCTAGCCCCCTGAATCACCGTCTTCCCTCCTGATCTGTGAACCCAGAGCCTCCAACTGAGACCAAGGCCCCATTTTGCCAGGTGCTGCACAGCTGCAGGGAGGGACAGTCCCTATTCCCCCCCCCCCACCCCGGTGCTCCCTCTGAGCAGATACAACAGGCTAAGAACAAGACAAGGGGAGGGTGATTGTAAGAAAACCAACAGCTGAGACCCACAGGGACTAAGTGACTTGTTGAACCAGTAGCAGAGCTGGGAACTGAGCCTAGATCTCTGAGCTAGTCACCGAGGGTGCGTCTACACAGCAGGGTAAAACTCGAAATAAGCTACGTAACTTGAGCTACAGAGCCTGCTTCTCCCGACTTCCCTTTATTACAGGAGCTGGAGGAAGAAGTCCTCCGCCTCGACATTATGTCGAAATAACTGCTTGTGTGTAGAGGCGCACTTTGTTGTTTTGAAGTAATGCCGGTTATTCCGAAATAACGGTGCTGTGCAGACTGTGGCAAGGTGACCCCACTCCTGGGTCCCGGTACCCTGCTCAGTCCTTCATTGGGCAGGGTATTTGCTCATGGCAGGATTCCAGCTCCAGTCTCTCAGACACAAAGGTTCTGGGCTAATTCCCCAAGGTCGGCCTGGGTTGCAAAAACAGTCCTGTCCAGCTCTCCAGCTGGGCTCTCCGGCTGCCAGCCAAAGGAGGGCCTAATAGCATTGCCAGATACTTTCACAAAAAAATCCCAAACGCGGAGGGACCAAAGTTGTTGGGCAAAAAAAAAAATAAAAGTCATCACTGCGCCTTTAAATCTCCATTTTACATGTCCAGTATTTTCGGGTTTTTTTACTGGACAGGGCCACAAATACCAGACACCTCACAACCCTCGGGCCTAATGACACTGGTCTGGGGCATCTCACCCTCTGCCACTTAGCTATCTCTGGCAATGCTGCATGGCATGGCGTGGCGTGGCGTGGCGTGGCATGGCGTGGATCAAATTCTTTCCCTCCCTCCTTCCTGCGCCTTTTTTTTTAATCCTGTGCCCTGGGCTGATGAGATAATTGGCTCAGACAGCTATCCTGCTTGACTAATTATGGACAGGGCCACAAATACCAGACACCTCACAACCCTCGGGCCTAATGACACTGGTCTGGGGCATCTCACCCTCTGCCACTTAGCTATCTCTGGCAATGCTGCATGGCATGGCGTGGCGTGGCGTGGCGTGGCGTGGCGTGGCGTGGCGTGGCGTGGCGTGGCGTGGCGTGGCGTGGCGTGGCGTGGCGTGGCGTGGCGTGGCGTGGCGTGGCGTGGCGTGGCGTGGCGTGGCGTGGCGTGGCGTGGCGTGGCGGTCTCTTCCCTCCCACTCCTGCTAGTAGGGCATCCTTTTTATAGTCTCAAGGGCAGCCTGAGGTGAGATCAGCTGGCTCTGCTTAATTTGCAGCAACCCTATCTCCTTTGCCCCTAATTGCTCAGGGCTGTTGCTGCCTTTCTGTCTATCTGCTGTAGTCCTCCAGCCTGACTCTGTCACAAGACTTACACTTAGGGTGCGTCTACACCGCACTGTAGCTGGAAATAAGAGACACAATTTGAGCTACGCAAATTGCGTCACTTATTTCAAAATAGCTTATTTCGTGCTGTCTACACCGTGCCAAATTTCGAAATAACCCACTATTCCAAAACATCCCTTAATCCTTGTGGAATGAGGTTTACAGGGATGTCGGAATAGTGCACCCGTTCTATTTCGAAATAATGGGTGCACTCAAAAGACGTGGAATAGCTATTTCAGGATACTCCGGTATCCTGAAATAGCATTGCAGTGTAGATGTAGCCAAAGTGTGTTAAACACAAGACTGTGGTTCTCTGTCTACCACTGGCCCCCAGCGGATGATGACTTCCCTGCTCCCATTTCTTCATCAAGGAAGACTTTCTTGCTATGCAGCCTAAATTTTCCTCTTCCTAATTTCATCCCATGACTCTTCCTCCTTTTGGACAGTTCTAACCCCTCCGTGTCCTGCCAATACTTCCAATTCACTTGGCTTTCCTCTAGTACCTTAAATCCCAAAGCACGTAAAAGGCTCACCTAATGCTGGTGACATGCGGCCTCCTCTGGGGTGGGGTACGGCAGCTTTTAACAGCACACGGCAACAGTCTGACAGGCAGGAGAGGATACTGTACCATGGGAAGATGGAGAAGCAGCAATATTTTGCAGCATCTGACGAAGTGGGTCTTTGCCCACGAAAGCTTATGCTCCAAAACATCTGTTAGTCTAAGGTGCTCCAGGACTCCTTGTCGCTGTACCATGGGAGACTGTCTGTGGGCCGGGACGCTATCAGACAGGATTTTAGGGCTCCTTAGCTTACACCGCGACAGAGGCCTGTGCAATATGGTAGTTATGCACCCACGCTGGTACAAGCCCTGAGACAGGACTGCATCTCCAACCCAGCCCTGTGGCTTCCTCCTAGCCTGCCAGGTGGCAAGTCTTTGTTTGCAGAGGCTGGGGCGCTGCCTGGCGCTCAAGACAGGCCAAGGAATGCAATCTCCTCTGAGTGTCCCTGTGGCTCCTCGCCAGCACATGCATTAAAACGGAGACATCAAAGCCAGGGATGATTTAAAAGGGGGAGAACGTTTATTGAGATGGGAGGGGGGCTCGGAAGTGGTGGAAGGACAAGAACGCACTGGAATAGGAGCCGTCGCTTCAGCTGTACTGGATGAGGATGTCTTTGGTGACATAAAGTCTGGCACGCATGGTGCTTCCTAATGCTGTCTTTCTTCGCGGCTAGAGGACGGGGTGGCCCAGCTCCTGATCTGTTACGCGGGTGTAATTCGGTGGAACTCCAGCAGCGCTCCTCTGGGACACTGGAGGAGCGGGATTTGGTTGTGTCATGTTTAATTGAAAGGTGTCTGTTTTGCCCCAGGTTTTCAGAGAG